AAAAATAGACTTTTGGCATGAATTGCAAAAAGATTTTTTGAATTGTAAAAAATGGTCTTTTGGCGAATTGTAAAAAAAAGACTTTTGACATTATCATTTAAATTGTAAAAAATAGACTTTTGGCATGAATTGCAAAAAGATTTTTTGAATTGTAAAAAATGGTCTTTTGGCGAATTGTAAAAAAAAGACTTTTGACATTATCATTTAAATTGTAAAAAATAAACTTTTGGCGTGAATTGTAAAAAAAGACTTTTGACATTATCCTAATAAATCATTTAAATTGTAAAAAATAGACTTTTGGCATGATTTTTGAATTGTAAAAAATGGTCTTTGGCGAATTGTAAAAAAAGATTTTTGAAATTATCTTAACAGATCATTTAAATAAAAAAATAGACTTTTGGTGTGAATTGTAAAAAGATTTTTTGAATTGTAAAAAATGGTCTTTTGGCAAATTGTAAAAAAGATTTTTGAAATTATCTTAATGGCACGGGATTATCTTACAATACAAGCAACCAATGTTCCATCAGAACATGCTTTCTCAGTTGCTGGAAATACAATCAGTAAGGTGCGGAATTGCTTATTGCCAGAAACTTCAAGAGCATGAAGAGTTGGATAATCAATAAAGTAGGGGTTTAGAGTGCTAGAAGAATATTCTCGAAATTACTTATATATTTTTTTCCTTATACTTTCTTTATGTTTTTTTGTAATTCTATACTAATTACTAATAAAAAATCATCAATGTTTGTTTTATTTTATGCACTTTTTTTTGTATATTAATATCTATCATATTCATTCATTGTTTGTCCGTTTATTCGTTATTTACATAATAATAATAATAATAATAATATTTAATTTAATTTATTTGAATATTAATAAGTCACGTTATTCGTATTAATCATTCCTTTTAAGGAAAGATTAACTCAGGATTTCCTCATATAGGTATAAATCACATGGTGAACGGTTAGAACTCGGTTCTGGAACCGGTTCGCGGTTCTGTGTTCGGTTCGGTTCAGAACCGGTTCCCTAGTGGAACCGCCCCATCCCTAGTCCAATCACTTGATTTTGATAAGTATAACCCCCTTAATGAATATTCAGTATAAATCACATGGTGAACGGTTAGAACTCGGTTCTGGAACCGGTTCGCGGTTCTGTGTTCGGTTCGGTTCAGAACCGGTTCCCTAGTGGAACCGCCCCATCCCTAGTCCAATCACTTGATTTTGATAAGTATAACCCCCTTAATGAATATTCATGAATATGATGATTGTGATCACTACGAGGAATATAGCAAAACAAAGAAAAGAAGACTATCATGGAGCAGCAGTAGAAGTAAAAGAATAAGTGTTTATCAATTATTGTCACTCTAGTTACTTATTATAAGAATGGTGGTTGAGATTTGTCATTTTGGTTTTTTTCAATCACTAATGTGTTGCACTCCAATATGCACTAGAAAACAATACTTTCCTTGCCTGTTACCTGATGATGTAATTTTATATATAATGAGATATTTAAATATTGGAAGTCTGTATCAAGTTTCATTAGTTTGCAAAAAATTGAAAAATATCATATACAAGGATCAATACTTTATCACTCAAAAAAATTGGTTTTATGGCCAATATAAGCATATATCTTTCCAAGGACATGGTAACAACACTGTTACTTGTTTACAATTCAACTCTCAAAAAATTGTTTCTGGGTCAGATGACAGGTGTATTAATGTTTACAATACAGCTAGTGGTAAAATGATCCACAAGCTTGAAGGTCACGAAGGTAGTGTCAATACTTTACAATAAGTTAACACAGTGTTAGCATCAGGATCTGCTGATAATACAGTTCGTATTTGGGATCTTAAAGAAGGCATATGTACACATACATTCTCAGTAAAGACTAGTGCTGTAATCCAAAAAAGGAAAAAGTATGGTTGCAAAAGTGGTCGCAAAGGTAATTGCAACCACTTTTTATATGCTGTAAATACAATTACTAAAATCATCATAATTTACGGCACTAGTCTTTAATTCTCAGGTCACACACAAACTATTACATGTCTTCAAATCATACCACTAGAAAACGTTATTGTCACTGGCTCTAAGGATTGTACATTAAAAGCATGGAGGCTACCTAACCTCAAGGTTGATAAATCATATTATTTTACTAAATCTTCACCACTATCTGATAATAATCAATTTAACAACAATCCATATTTTCTTCATACCTTTTGTGGCCATAATAAATCTGTTAATACTTTGTCATGTTTAAGAAACACTTTAATTAGTGGTAGTGATGATGGTACAATTAGGGTCTGGAACATCATGACTGGAAAATGCATTTGTGTTTGAAGCATTTGCAAAAAGTTTGCTCTGTAATATTAGATGATACAAGAAAAAGGTGTATAAGTAAAAATGCAGATGGTGTGATTAAATTTTGGAACATTGAAGATGGCACTCAACTCCGTACACTTAATTTATCATCTAGATGTATTTATAGTAACATTTTATTAAAATACTTTTGATTTTTTTATATTTGACATAACTGATAAAATACTTTTATATTACTTAAGCACCTCTTCTTTGTTCAAATCCACTTTGGCTTTCAGATGATTATTTAGCTTCTATTACTGCTATCATTGTTATTTTTATAATCAATGCAAATAATTATAAAAAAAAGCATATGTTTGTTAATCCAGGAAAGACAAAGCAATATGTGGTGGGATATGAAATCTGGCAAACACATTTGTGATTTATTAACTGGATTAAGTGTATGGTAATGTATTATTTTCTATTTTAATAAAAAAAAATTTTTTTTTGAGTGAAATTAATACTAACCAATCAATCAATTATAGGCAGGTTAAATTTGATAAACAGAGATGCGTTGCAGCTGTACAACGAAATAATTTGGAAACATGGTTTGAAGTCTTTGATTTTAAAGTATTTGGTATAAAAGAAGATAGAAACACATCCAATGCTTGCTTGTGCAGATGAAAATGGTAACTGGATTCCTAAAATAATAATTGTAGAATAAATTCTATTTGCTATTTGTACTATGATATGATTTTAACACATGATTTGATTTATGGATAAAATATTAATATGTAATTCATCAAATATTAAAATTTTATTGCTATATTTATACTGTGGTAAAGGAAACATTTTTTTAAAATCATGTGATTCAAATTAGTGCTTGTAACAATTAACTTGGCAGTATTTCTATATAAATGAAGTCTTTGGACATCTTTTTTAAAAAATGTTTGATAAACTATTGTCACCGATTAAATTTTGGAGAACGTATTTTAATTGGTATTAACAATTATTTTTATTTTTGCGTGGATCAGAATGAATAGGAATTGATTTTGTTATTAGCGAATAATTTTGTTTAAATAAAATATTTATTTTATTTATTTAGTTTTCTTAGTCGAAACTAATTAACTTGTTATCAAGTTGCTTTTACATTAGGTCGAAATCAAGTTCTTTATATACATGTCAATTAATTATAAGCCCATATGGATTCGCACATCCGTTTGGGTTCATGAGCCCATATGGGCGCATCGTCACTAATTTCTACTAGATATAGTTAAATAAATCAAATAAATATTAACGTGTTACGGGATTAATTAATAAGAATAGTAAATGACTATACGAAACGTAACACAGGTATAAACGATAATAATAAACAAGTTAATAAAAAAAAATAAAAATAGAAAAATGATAAATAAAAATAGAAATAGAATTAATTTGACCCGGAATTACGAGATTCGTCCCAAAATATCTTCGTCAGAATCTAATTCTGGTAACACTATTCCAAGTTTTAATAGAAACATTGCATCTAGATACGGGATTATTCTTATTTTGATACCATTTGCATTATCCAAAAGTTTATAAATTGTTCACTATCATTCTATTGTTTTTCTTGCTTTCTTGATAAATTCCATGGATAATCTTCAAGCAATTGAGTATCATTTATTTTGAAAATATAAGGGGTAATTTTCTCACCTTATTCCTTTTTCAAAATACTTCTGATAGCACTATAATTCTTGGGTTCCAATGATAATATACTAACACTAATACTAACTGTTACTACACTTTCGAAAAAAAACCTTTGCTTACTAATTTTAGCAAAGATTCTCTTTACATTGTGTTTTTGATTCAAAAGTTTCTGCCGTTTTTGGAACTTTTGATCAATTATTTTTTTTGGTGATCTACATAATATTTATCTACATATGCATAGATTGTTTTTCCGATAAAATTTTTTTTAAATAAAATTTTTTAAACAAATAAATTTACTTTTTTTCATGACGAATAACTGGCTAACAGATCTTGAAGAAGAGGTTTTAACTCCTAACGTTGCTCTCAGGCTACAATACAAACTTATCAAATACATAGCAGAATTTTTAGAATCACAACAAGATCGATACAATTTATGTTTTGTTAATAAGGCATGGACACCAGCAGCTATTAATGTATTATGGTCAGAACCAATTTTCAAAACACCTGATTCTATATACTACTTCCTGCGTGTGGTCAAACAATCAAAACAAAGGGCTTTAAGAATACGTGTTCTCAATCTATGTGCTCCAGAAGGAAATAACGTCAACTCTTTTGCACCAGTTTTATGTTCCGATCATATCGAACACAAGATAATGTCAACATACTTTATATCAAAACCAAATTTATTAACAAATCTTGTTAGATTATGTGAAAATCTACGCAAGATTAAAGTATATGGATGGAATTTATCTGATAGTCACATACAATCTTTGCCACAATACTGCCCAGAACTCAAAGAAATCCTGGTGATTGGTAATAATCAATTGACTCACAAGGCCTTTCATTCACTGATGAGCTGTATATCTGATCTTCGTGTATTAGATTTAGATGGCGTTTTTAAACTTTCTGACAATTTTGCAGAAGCATTAGCAATCAAGTGTCCATCACTTTGTTCACTTAAACTTTCAACCAAAGAAATATCCGAAAAAGGATTTGATACATTAGCAACCAAATTAACAAAACTTAACAACCTAATATTACAAAATTGCTCCAACCTTACTGACAATAATATTGAACGTTTTGCAGAAAGAAACCCTAGATTGCAAAATCTTCAATTATTGGGTGATGCGCTCACGATCAGATCATTTAAAGTGGCAATGCATCTAAAAGAATTGATACATTTTGATCTCAGGTGTTTAAAAGAAGTTTTGATTTTATCAAATGAGATAGAATGGTTAAGACCAATCTGTCACAACCTGCGTATAATCATACTTGAAAATTTACCAATTGATGATGACACAATTTCAGCAATCACTGTACACTGTAAAAAATTGGAAAAAATTGCATTTTCAAGATGTCCTTATATTACGAATAATTCAATCAACAGCATTGCAGAAAATGAAACTCGCCTTAATACACTAGATCTACTTGAATGCAGGAACATCACAGATGCATCTCTTAAATGTCTAGGCCGTAAATTAAATTATTCACTTACTCACATAATCATAGACTCGTGTGGCTCATTTTTACCAGAGGCTATACACTGGTTTGTCAAAGTCTCGCCGAAACTTGAAAAAATAGTTTTCAATAGAACACCTTCTATCATCAACTCATTTGTTTACCAGTTTTCCACAGAAAGACAAAAGGGAAGTCACGATTCGGTTGTTTCTCATCAAAAATGCACTATTGAAAATGAAAATATTAATAAACTGGCTCATTTCAATCAGGATTCACCGCACCTTCCTTTTTCAAATAATAATTCTATTGATGGAGTCAAGAATTATAATTACAATCAACATGTTATTCAATCAAATCATTCATTAATTCCTAAAAATAATAATAATAAAGCAAATAGTTATGATTATAATCACAATAAACATATTATTCAATCAAATTATTCATTAATTCCTAAAAATAGCAACCATAACCCTAGTAATAAGACAATGAAAATTCCAGAAGATAAGCTTGATGCATTATCTTCAGAATTGGGCTTATCCCCAGATGTTGTTAGTAATGCTCTTAAAAAGATATTCTATAGCGAATTGCAACAACATCAACAGCAGCAGCAGCAGCAGCAGCAGCAAAAACCAATAAAACAAATTACAAATTCTTCATATGCGTCTACAACTAGCACATTAAATAATTGGGGACCTAATACTGAAACTTCAAATTTTAACAACAATTATTATGAAGGTTATCAGTGTATGTCACCACAATCTATGATTACCAATGAATTTCAAAATGATTATTTTCAGAATATGTCAAATACAAAGCATTCTTTCAGTGATTCTTCATCAAATGATTCACAATTTCGCCGTGGTTCTTGGACTACAGTGATTAAAAAAACCCATAGCTGTTGGTCGTCCATCAATATAAAATTACCCAGTCTTCATTATCCACATCCAACAACGACAGGAACAACAACAAATATAGAAGAATATCAATCTCGTCACAGTTCCCGTGAATCTTCAATGGTACGTTGTCAAGAAAAAGGAGGAGGAGAATCCCCATCAGTGGTCGAGCATTCAATTGTTGAAAATTGTATTAGTAGTGTTAATAACAACGTTGAGAAAATGTCACCTGTAAAGCCTCCTCAATTTAAAACAATTGATCAGATTACCGATGAAGCTCAATTATCAACAAAAACATCATTGTCAAATAATCAAGCTAATAGTTATACTTTAATTAATAACGTGACAAGTAATGATTACGACCAACAAAAGTATCAACCACAGTCGCAGATTCAAGACCCACGACAAACTCAGCAAATTCAACAGCCATCACAAAAATTTTTTGGACAATCATCACCTTTAAATATCCAGCAAGAGGAAAAAGTATACAATGAACAAGTTCCATCCATCAAACAAATATCCTATGAACAAGTTGCACAAGCTCGACCAATTGTTATTAATAATTACGATAATAAAATTGGTGGTGATAAACAAGTAACTAATGATAAAAAATCCAAATCTTCAAATGGATACGCATCGTTATGGAATAATCCTCTTGGAAGTGAAGATATAGGTAGTTGGGCAGATTTTGGAGTTCAATCAAACAACATCGAAAATAACGACGACGACAACAACAACAATATTCAAGATAAAGATATTCTTTATGTAAATCTTCCAAGCGGACACATGTTATCTACTCAATCTGATTCAATTGATAATGATAACGTCCAATCTAAAAATGAGAGCTCACAAATATTTATAGAAAGTAGTAATAAGCGGCCTACAAATCAAACGGAAACAGTTAACAGCAACCATAATAACAAGAGTAATCAATTTAATAATTCAACCTATTCAACAAATTTACAAACATACCCTCTTTCTTCGCCATATTTGAAAGGAACGATTCCAAATGGTAGCAGCGATGAGAAAAACTTGGAAAATAAATCAAATATTATTTCAAATAATAATTCAGAGTTTACTTCCACAATTACGCATGCGGCTAATTCCAAAACAGAAGAAAATAATGATAAGACCTATCAAATTGACAACTCACCAGTGGCACCAATATCACAATATATACCACAAATTGTTACGGATTCTATTTATATATCAGAAAGTTATTATAGCAACAGTCAAAGTAATAACGATGATAATAATCAGCTACCTGGTTTCACGAACACGAACCTGACTAATAATGATCAAAGTAATTCGGTTGATCTTGGTGCATGGGGTAGTTTATCAATCGACAAATCATCGACGTGGGAAAGTCAGGTGAAATGGGTGCAAGGTGATGTAAAAAACAAAATAACGGAACCAGAAACAAATCAACTTTGGGGAACTGTCAAGGCTGGTGAATCGACCATCAATAATGTTGAAGAATCAACAACACCTGTTTATTTTGAGAAGAAGCAAGCACGAATCGTTAACAATGAGCTTGATGAGGGATGGGGTTCACCTCCAACACAAACTATTTCATGGAATGATTCTCGTCAAGGAAGTTATATTGAAATGATCGAGGAGCAAAGCAATGCTGTATATTGGACCAAACAAGATGGTGTATGGCTCAATGCTACAGAAGAAGATAAGGTATCATCTCAAAAACAAAAGGAAATTGAATTAAGTGCAGGTGATTCTGATGATATTAGTATAAAGGGCGGTGCAAAAATAAGTCGTACAGAACTCCAGGGAATCGAATTATTAAATTCTACATTGAATGAAATACGTGAAACAAGAAAAGAGAGAAGATTCAAAGAAGCAAACTCATTAAAACTTTCAAACAATGATTGTGACAATGGCGATGGGTGTTCAAACATTAACGTAGCATTAAATCATGATAATGATAATTGTGAAGATTATTCGGCGTCAGCCGGGCCAGAAGAGCATTATGCTCTTTCAGCACCGGTGTCTCGAGAACATGATGATTATGTTAAATCTAAAAATGGGAGTGATACTTTTGTTAAAACTGGCGAGATATCTATTTTAAGTGACGATTGGAATCTCGATAATAAACTTAAAAAAAAAACAGAAAACGAAAACGATGAAAAACAGGTTGTTCAAGTGACAGAAGACAATATTTTAATAGATCTTTTTGATTCAAGTAAATCGAGCAACAGTAGTGGCAAAAATAATGAAAACAATAATAATAATAATAACAATAGTAATAAATTTAGATCAATTAATATGGACATTTCTGATTTATTTAGTTCGATCAAACCCTCATCATCATCGCTACCGACAAAAGATAAAAACAACAACAACAATAACAATAACAATGGAAACAAGGAAAGTATTCTGTCGATAGTTGAACGAGAAATCTTTACGACAGGTCAAAATAATAACAATGGTAATACTAGTAACGGTAGTGATGATGGTGGTTTGTTATTATTAAAACATAAAAATAAAGAGAATTCATCATTAATCATACTTGAAGAGAATGCTCGAGATCGAAAGGTTATTTCATTATCGGAAACCAATGTTTCCCACCAAAATAATATTGATAACATTTTAACAAATTCCAATGTAGAAACACCATCGTTAGAATTAAATAATAATAATAATAATAATAATAATAATAATAATAATAATAATAAGGATATTGAAAAAGTAGTGATTGAAAATTATAGTAACAATGTAGTAAATCATCAAACAAGCAAGGGAGAAGCTTTACTTTTTAAAACAGAAACGACAACAGTATTATCATCAAGTAATGAAGATGAAGTGATAGAAAGTTCAAGCATGGATAAAAGACAAGAAGAAGAAGAAGAAGAAGAAGTGATAGCAGTTGAAATCGCAGAGAAAGGTCCATCACCAAATGAGCAATTAAGGATGGACGACGTAGAATTGGAGAGTAGTCGGCCTAATAACCTTAAACATATTAAGTTAAACATTGAAACACCAGATCACGGAATGCAAGTTTGTTATATCAAAAAAGTACGCGAAGGAATAGTTTAATTATTTAAATAATTATCTTTGTTACTAATTAATTTGTTAAATTAGGATGACGATGTAAATAGAATTGCTAGTGAATTTTGTAATAAATGGAATATGAATGGATTTGATAATGCGTTAGTAAATCTTTATAAATTAGAAATACAACGAAAATCTACACGAAAAAAAAAGCAATTTTTAAGGCCAAAAAATTAAATAATCTTATTTCATTAGTGGTTGTTATATTTATTTGTTATTTAATATTATTTTTGTAAATAATTATTGTAATAAATTTTTTTTTTGCATAAAAAAGTTAATTACCGATAGAATAATCTAAAATAATAATAAAATAAAATCGTACATTTTTTTCATTTTTAATATTTTCCGATTTATTATTATTATTTTATAAACTTATAATAAATCCATAATAATAAATGATAATTCATAAGAAATATAAAAAATAGACATTTTTTCCTTATGGCCTTAATGAGAAAAATATAATTTTTACCCTTAAAAACATAAGCATAAATAAATTAATGAATTTAAAAAGGGAAGAGTATACATGTACAAAAATTATACAAGTATACATAAAAAAAGGAAGAAAAAAAAAACATATAAAATCTTGGTATATATAATATATCTTGAGTATTTACATATATAACATAGATGGCTCATTCATTTTTAAAAAATCGGGAAAAAAATATATATTTATATTTCAAGATTGAACAATCCTTTTAATTTTCCCGCAATCTTCTAAATGATGTCCACGATATTTAATCATCCATCCATCTTCTTTTTCAGTAACAGTTTTATTAACGGGACAACCTTTATTGCTATTAGAACATTTATAATAAACACTTTTATTTCCTGTTTTTCGTTGAGTTGTATTTCCGTTATTTTTCCATAAATAGGCATCTTTATAAGGATTATCTTTGGTTTCGATGATCATTGTAACTGGAAGCATTTCACGGCGCTTGCGTTTTCTTTTGCTCGGAGTACCATTCAAACCACAATCTTCTGCATCGTCATTATTATTGTCGTTGTTGTTGTTATTATTATTCTGATTGTGAGTGTTCGAATTCAAGTCATTTGTTAATTGTTCTTGCGATGTCGACTCATTCTTTGACGATAGTTTGATACGAGCTATACATTTTGCGTGATTATACGAAGATGAAATTGCGTTGTTATCGATAGGAATATTTTGTATTGAAGAAGCAAGATTATTGTTAAATAACGCGTAAGTCGACGACGGTCCATCAGGTGTCAGATAACTGATTAAAAGACGGATGATTGATACGTGTATTATTAGTAAAGAAACCATTTAAAAGGGCGATGAAATTTATTTTATAAACATTGACGACGAAATTTTTTTAATTAAAACTTACGTTCCCAAAGAATTACCATGAATGTCTAAAAATAAAAATAATAATTCAAGCAATAAATAAAGTAAAATATATATATATATATATATTATATATAATTTTAAATGATGATTTGTACAACATTGAAAGAAGAAAAAAAACCAAATTTTTTAAAAAAACAAAAATTTAAAAAAAAACTACAACTAATTATTATATAATTAATAATTTTACCATAATCAAATTCGTTATTAAGAATTAGTTGTTCTTCATGACTATTATTAATATTATTGGACACATCCATACCTTCAACGTGTTCCGCGAATCTTCTTTGTCTATAACGATCCAGTAGCATCAAGTCAATTTCCCGAACACGTAATTTAGCTTCTTCTGCTCTACGCTTATCCTCTTCGACTTTTGAAGTCAAAATAATTTTTAATAGATCAGGTTGCGTTCCGAATTGTGACAATATTTCTTGCAAATCGAAATTATTTGTCAAAACGGTTTGATTATTATTTGAGGATAAACTTGCGGGAATATTTGGAGGAGTGGCTAAAGATATGGGCGAAGCTAACGATGTAACATTATTTGTTCCGGTGGTGGTCGTGGTTGGATTTTGCACGCATTGCGTTGAAGTCAAAGGAGAGGTTGGACTATCTAAAGACGGAGCCATTATCGAAGATTGTTGTTGATTTGATGCGTATTGTCTGTTATTATGATCAGGATTTTGTAAAGTGATTGAAGTTGGTTGTTGTTGTGATTGTTGTTGTTGTTGTTGTTGCGATTGTGGTGATTGTGGTTTATAGCGATTGTTTTGGGTGTCAGAATTTGGGGTCGAAGGGGCAATAGAGGAATTCTGCGAAGTTGTGAAATGGGTGTTTTGAGATCTAGCAGTTTGAGGAATCAAATTTTCATGAGAAGAGGTCGTAAACTGATAAGGATGGTGGTTTAGATTCGTTTTTGCATAAGAGTATGGATTGAAAACATCAGTGTTAGCCATATTGTGAAATATACCTCAAGGCTCAAAAAATGTATTTTTTTGTTTTGCTTTTTAGACTGACTATTTGTACTAAATTTTTTAAATTGACTATATACAACTATAATACAATTTATTTACAAAAGGTATTTTTTTTAAGCAAACTTTGAATTTTTGGTAATGCAATTTCCCCGAATGAGTTAATAAATAAATTGCAATTTAGTACAAAAAAAAAAATTTTTTTTTTTCAAATTTTATTTATTCTTTGTAGGAAGGAAGTAAATGGTATGCATATATATATATATATATAAAACGCGCGATAAATAAATAAATTTTCCGTAATATATCTTTAAAAAGACTTGATAACAAACAAACAACAGTTAATTAATCGTATATATGCACACATATATAAAGTAACATATGAAATCTATAAAATATTAGCAAAAACATCAAAGAATAAATTATGGAAAACACCCAATCAAAATTTAAAAAAAGGGGGCGTGATGAGAAGGAGGTAACGCCTAACTCATGCGCAATTTTAATACAAAGAAAGGAAAATAGTATTAAGTAATAACACATGCCCTTACCATTAAATTTCACCAATTAATCATGAGCAAATATCACTAATTAATCCGTCGATAACTAAAATAATAAAATGCACCTGCTTTCTTACATTACATTTGCATTTAAATATAATAATAAGTTGTAATAATGATGGTGGTGACAATTTGATCGTTTTTATTCTACAATTTATTACTTCGATCGATCAATGTCTTTATTGGAAAATTATTCAGATAAAAATATTTGATCAACAACTAATTATATAAATATGTATAATAAATAATATATTATTAATTGCTGTTGTAAAAATTTGTCTTGATTGTAAAAAACATAACGAAAGAAGCTACAATTGGCTCGTACATAACAATAGTGAAACATTGGGAAAAGTCCCCATCCAACCTTATTCAATCCAATTTTAGTTTATCAACAATGTTGCTTCACACTTTTTAGGAACAATGAATATTTCTATAAATAGTTAAATCCTTTTTATAAATATATATTAACGGGAATGAATGCTTTTAATTCTTTTTAATCCGAGTAATTTAATAATGCATGTAATAAATGGTCAAGTAAATATAGATAATAAAAAAGATTTCCAAGGATAAAAATAAAAAATTCTAAATTTATCATAATTATAAATTGCATCAACTTTGCTCTCTCAGGATATTATTATCTCTTCAGTCAAGGAGTATTTATCATCATTGAATTAATTATACATATGTGTGTGCATCTATGTATGTGCGTATGTGTATGGTATATTATTATTCACTTGGCTTGGTTATCTTAACTTGATTTATGATAAAATAAATCTCTGTTGCTTTGTTTTCGATCGATCGATCGATTAATATAATGTTGATGGTAGATCTAAATTTATTCGGCCGGTGATTTTATTATAATAATAATAAATCTCAAACAATATATACACTTCCTATGTGAGTAAATAAATAAATTAATTAATTAATGAATGAATGAATGAATGAATGAATGAAAAATGAAATAAACAAATAAAGATTAAATTTATTCGCCGAATTATTTTGTTTTTAAATATTATACGAATGAAACATATGACATTTGATTTATTTAGATTAGAGTTCTAATAATGAAATTTAGCAGCTACCGTCGTACCACCACCATATAACACACCATATGAGATCATCACATGAAAATTCTCTGTAGGGCTGTTTCAATAGAAAGGGCCAAATGTCAAAATCATGATTTGAGAAGAATATGATGAGGGTTATGCTTTGTCCACGCATAGTACCACACAGTGAATTTCGGTTTAGCGGACCTCGATTTAGCGGATACTAATTAAAAATCTCGGTTTAACGGACGACAGTTCCCGTAATAAAAACATTCTCGGTATGACGGATTTTTTGAAAGTAATTTTCCCTAATTGTCAAAACTATCTGTTAAACCGAGATTCACTGTGTGGTACCACACAATACATGCACGAAATGTTTGAAAATTATTTCGTCACATTGACGAATTGTGACAAATTGAAATTTGAAATGGTGTTGTTCCCAGATTTTGGAATGCCTTTGTAATAAAGTAACTACTTGGAATTATGATAATTTAAAAAATTTTAAAATCTTTTTGTCAAAAAAAAAAACAAAATTATCATCGACAGTTAAAACCTTATCATAAAGGAGAAAATCGAGATAATAAAATAATGCTTTAAAAAACCAAAAAGTAGGTTTATTAATCGCTTTTCTTTTTTTTTTTTTTGTGTATTCAATTTAATGATGAAAATAAGTACTTGCTAGTCGTTTTATGACTTCAGTATTAGTTTTATTAATAATGGTGATAGTGGTGATGATATAAAGAGGCTAGGTCACCTGTTTGAGATACGATTGGCCGACACTTCAATATATTCGTATTATTTAATTGTTAATCTTTTTCTTTTTTAAAAAAATTAATAAAAGAATTCTTTTTCGCTTAATAAAACACTTTTATGGTCGGAAATTAAACGGTTATTTGAATTTGGTCATAAATGTAAAACATTCGGTATTAACCGAAAAGCTATATATCTTGATGATGGTGTAATAAATATTCCTATATATAATTAAATAAAAGATGAATAAGCAACTATTTTTAAATAGATTATACATGTATGTTATTTACATATTTTTTCAGGGAAAAATTTTTTAAACCACAAAGTGGGTCAACTCTAACACATTGAAACCAAAAATGGGTCAATTCTTGACCAATAATGGGTCAATAAGCTGTACATGTGCATCTTTATAAAATATCAATTTTTTAATTAGTATAAAAAAAAACTAATTAATAAATTTCTAAAACCTACCAATTTTTGAAAGCGCTAACCATTATCATAATCATATTATAACAATTACGATAACGATAACAATGGTGATAACGATAACGATAATGATAATGGTGAATTGGGCAAGTTAGTGAAATTCTGATAATTATCTATCATAAAAAAAAATAAACCAATTTTATCTTTCAACTTTGCCAAATTTTCCCATCTTTATTTTGTGTGTGGCTTTCCAAAATTAGTTCATTAAAATCATGGTCCCACCCAGTATTATCATTACTTGGGTGATGCAATTCATCAATTTATTTGTTTATACACATAAATGTATCGCATAATCATCATAAATATTGTAATAGACGTACACAACAGTGGTAGACAATGGCATTTATGCTCAACGAAAGGATTAAAAAGATAAAAAATGCATGATTGTTTATATACAAAAGCAAAACAGAGCAATTGCATGGTAGGAAAATACTCGGATTCAAAGCCATTGATTAGTTTTACATATTCTTTTGTCACTCTGGTCAATCTAGACTAGTTTTATCATTATTAATATTACTAATGCTTTTTTCTTTCTTTATTTTCACCATTTTCTTCTTTTTGCATCTCTCTTTTCTTTCCTTATCAATAATTCGCGGATTGTTTCTATTGTTTTCCTTCTAGGATTCATCTTTCGTAAAAAAAATTTCAATTTTTTTATCAAATAATTATTTGAAATCCTTTTGTACATTTTCAGTTCTTCCGGATAATTATAATTGAGGTCATAGGTACCATGTTTTTGACATAGAAATTTTTTGAATCATACTGAGCGCATTATTGGTAAAGTTTATGTCTCCGAATTCCATAATAAAAAATGGTTCTTTTAAAGAGAAAACCCTTTTTGACGTCAGAATTCCATGGCACTGATGATTAGAACTCATGTGAATACTGTGTAACGAGCACAGATAAAAATCTGATCATTGGTTATTATTGTATCACAAAAATCAAATGAATTAACCAATGAAAAATCATACATGTGACATTTCAATTTATTAAAATTTATTTTTATGTTTTTTTAATTTAATTTAACACAAGTAAGGAACGAAACATTTGCCGTGTCACGACCACCTTCCAAAATCAGTAATGCGAGTGGCTTTCGTGCAGGTTTCTCGCCAATTGTCTCTTTTTGCGTTTAGCCGCAATGCTTTGCAAGGTGAGGAGAGGCATTATCAATGAACCAGCAAAATTCTATGTTTTTAAACCTAATTTTTTGGGAAGGAATTTTTTTCTTTGATGATCAATGAATGTGAATACCCTTTTTCCACATGATAAACATTTAACATTTATCGTGCAATAGTAATAAATATCTTTTTTTCCAACCGAAGAGAACTGTTTGGTAAGAATAAAAAATTTTGTTTATTTTATATTTAAGAGCTATTTAATGTCAATAATTGAATTCATTATTGTTTTTTGTTATAACATCCAATTCACTCTCTCTATAACGGCCCGCCTGATTTGGCAAAAAAAAGCCGTTATAGTTTGCAGATCATAGTCATGTGATAAATTATAATGTGATACAATATATATAAAGATTTTTATTTTATCGGTCACTGGATATGTCCCCTAATTTTTTGTACTACTATACAAATCATAATGATAAATAACGTTAACCGTTAACGTTAATTTTTAAATATGTTTTTGGACAAAACCGATAACGATAAATAATGATTTAAAAAGGCAACACTGACAGCGATTAGGTTTATCTTAACCAAAAATTAAAATTAAAATTTTGTCCTTAATTTTTATGTACTACCTATAAAATAACATTAGATGTTAAATAAAAATATTAAATTTATTAAGATTTTCACTTTTTTTTTTCTTTATTTTCTACAAAATCCATTCTTTTAGTTAGGTAATCCATTATTTAAACTATATCAAACCTATAGTTTTATAACTTGAATTTTATTATTGTAAAGTTATTTTTTTCAGAAAATGCAAGATCATAGAGGTTCATGAGACTATAGCCGATGTTTTCAATTTTGTCAAAATACAATTTCTTGTGCTACGTAAATTTTTTTTAAAATCTTCTTCACACACTCACGATTACTTATTATTGTACATTCAATTAAAAGAACGAACTTTATAGAATAGTAAAACGTCAAAGAATTGAAAGAATCGGAATTGGTTAAATTTAATGTATTATATTAATATTAAATTCACTTATTATAAAACTGACAAATCCATAGACATAATTTAATTATTTAATGTTATATGTTTTGTACAAATATTTAGAATGAATAATAATAGCAATAACAAATATATGTGTATGGAAGTGGGTTACGATGATCCTGATAAAGAATATGAAACCCTTGATGATGACACTTATACAGATAATTTTTCTATACCCACATCATCAACAACAACTTCTTTGATAAATACTGATCAAAATAGCTATTGTATTGATTTTAATGAGGAGTCATTAAGCAATGTAAAAAAATTTATTGAAAATTCTGAAGAATTTTTAGATAGAAAAGATGATAATGATATAGATTGGTTATCATCAGATTTTGATGTGCAATCTGATGTGGGTTCTTTGTGGGCTTCAACCATTGACGAGTTTGAAGATTCTGTCCATATGTTAAGTGAAGAAAAAAAGACTATTGATGATAATGATAGATGTGTAATTGTTGATCTTGTGAATGGAAAGTTACAACGTTGTAAAAATACTATATTTCGTCCTCTTTGTCAACTTTTGGGTATCTGGGAATTAGATTTTGATGAGGTTAATAAAGCCATCAAAGTGAACCAACCAGATGCGACAGCTCTATTGGGTACATGCTCAAGTCACTACAGTTTTGATAATAAAAATCATTTATCACATTTAAAAAACAGTGTTCCTACTCATGACGCATGGATATATAAAAGACGTTGTTTGTTTTGTAATTATGATAAATTTTATTATAGTAGAGGAGATGGATGTACACAACATTCTAAGAGCGTTTTAGAACGAAATGTTCATGTACCATGTTGTGGTTTAAAAGTTTGTCCAGTTTTTGTCGAAAATATTTTTGTGGGTTCAACAAATGAAACATATCCACGATATATCTGCACATTATGTTTTGAATCCGAAGGGGGACACAATTACCAACAAAAAGGTATATAGAGGTGTGAAAGCATTACACACTTGTATTGAAGACCACAATGAAGACAATTCCAAGTCTCTCAAGCTCTTTGGAGAATGGTTACAAAATATTTCAACATCATCTGATCAAATAATTAAAAATTTACTTCTTGAAGAGCTCTCAGTTTCACTTTCAAAATTTTTTAAAAGAAAACAATTGTTACAAACGCAACCAACTTCTATATCTGATGGTAAATCATTATTACTTAAACACCAATTTGATAAAATCCAAATAATTTTGCTTCGTGAAGTTGAGGAGTCAGTAAGAAATCTTTTTATTTTTTTTTATTTGAAATTTATCATAATATAATTAATCATTGTAAATTTGTTAATTATAATTTAGAAAATTTTTATTTCAAGTGGTGAATGCTTTTTACAAAGCGAAATTCTTCATTAATACAATTAACATAACCCATGAAGAACAACTTAAAGATATCTTCTATCAATTGAGTATTAAAGGCATTTTTGCAGTTATCCTTATAAAAAAAGATAGCGCATTAAACCATAATGTAAATATGAAAATTTACAAACACCAGTATCAAGATACTACTAAATATGATGGTTAGTTTTTTGATTTAGTATCAATTATGTATGAATAGATTTATTTATTTATTTCATATTAAATGTAATATATGGGGCATGCTGCAACAAAACCGGACAAAGTGAACATTAACATAACAAGAAAATCATGGGGGGGGTTAATATTACCATTGTGCTGACGTCTAAATTATCTTCTCTAGATATTTAATAAAATTAATTATATATCAAATGGTCTTTTCTTATAGACAAAGATTATGTGCAAGATTAATTAATATTTAATAAAAATTGAATAAAATATATAATATTATTATTATTGTTATGTATTACAGATGTAATATAGTAATTTTATATCATTAATGTCATTTTCAATATGTTCTAAAAGTATTGCACCATGGAATTTTTTTTTTTATAAAATATAACTTGAATTGCAAATGTTATATCTATCAACAGCTTTCACTCCTTCAAATATTGCATTCCTAGCCAGCTCACCAGGTAAAATTAACTTAATTGCATATTGTATATCATGTGAAGTGATTGTTGATCGTTTATTGTAGGCTGCAAGTTTTGAAGCTTCACTGGATATTTTCTCAAACATATCATTGATGAAGTCATTTAATATTAACATGGATTTGTGAGAAACATCAATGTTAGGATGAACCTTGAAATTATAAATATCGATTAATCTTTTGATTAAATAGTGAATAAATATATAGATATTAGTGAATAATATACCTTATTTAATACTTTACGTAAATAGATATTGTAATAGATATAAGTTTCACAACGAGTTTTCTTTTCCTTTTTTCTATTTTTCCCAATTAATCTTTGTTGTGAATCTTCTGCTGAATGCTGCATCATTTCTTCAAATTCCACATTAACATTTGATAAATCACCTATTTCTTCGTCCATAACCATAACAGAACCATCATCATCATCATCATTATAATTAATTATTTTATTGTTAAGTGAGTTTAAATAATCCTGAGTAATATTAATGTTTTCTTGCTCTTCCTCAAAAATAACATCAATATTATTTTTATTATCTTCAATAATATCGAGGGTAGTTTCCAACAGATTTTTAAATGTATTCTAAATATATATATCCATTACAAATAAACAAATTAACTTGCAATTTCATTTAAAAAGATTGAGACTTGTATGTTCAAAAAGCTGTAATTTACTTACGATCTTGTTTGTAATGGTAGAACTAAAAATAGAACAAAAAATTTTTTTTAATCAGTAAACTAGATTGACAAGTTGGTGACAAAAGTAACAAGTTGCATGTAGCAACCATTTTCAAGTTACAATGATCGCAACTACCACAATCACCACCATTCTTAAAACACTTACCCTTTTTTTACCAGCTCATTTTCACGTTTGCTTCTTCTTTTTTTGTTGGTGACAGAAAACATTTTGTTTTTTATTTTTTAAAAAAAAATAAATAATAATTAACATTATTATTGGCCTTGGTGTTGCACATGATTTTTTTACGCGAATTGATTTTTTTTGTTGACGCGATTGATTTTTTTTTTTTTTTTTTTGGAAAAATTTATTTGAGTCCAAGATGACAAAATGTGAGTCTCTAAAGAAGACGTGTTAATAACAGAGGCACTATTTTTTATTTGCGTTGTTTTTTTTTGGAATCAAAATGTGGAGCAGATCATTGCTGGGTAAGTATAAGATTCTTATCAAGATTGTGTATTTTGCTTTTCATAATTGTTATCAATATTAATATTAAATAATAATAAATAATTACATGTCAAGGCAGCATACTGTTGAAAAAGAAACATTTCGATATGCAATGTTTGATTACAGGAAATTGGCAGGCGTTGAAGCACACATGCTACCTTGAACATTACAGTCATTCTCTCATCTTCCTTGTGTACACAAGGCTAATCTGACTGCAAGGCCTTCAAGGATAAATGATGCTGTTAAATTCCAGGGGGGGCGTAAGGCCCTGGAGTTTACCGAGACTGCATCTATTGTCAATGACACTTTTACTAATCTTCCCTCACAGCCCAGACCAGAGAAAGCTGCTGCCATGTTAGACAAAAAGTTGCCTGCAACGATCCTACTTCTAGGGTAAGGATGGATCTGTGATCAAGTTGCAACTCTGTTGATGAATTGTAGTGCCATGTAAACATCAAAGCAACGAGAATCTGCAACTCGTTTCAAGCACAGGGAGGTAATTTACAATTCAGAGCAGGGTTTGTGGCCCCGAAATTGCATTTGGGCTCTGAGTTAGAAGGAAAGCTGTAAAATAGTGTTTGTTTTGTATAATTATTTTCCTAAATTCTCTGTTTCTTTAATACTAACCAATTTATAATTTTGGATAGGGGACTGAACAGGGTTTTGCCCAATCAGTCCCCTGTCCTATAGATTAAAATCATTATACATCTTTGTCAGCAATATGGCCAACAAGAAAAAAGTCATAAAATGGTTTGGATTTTGGTATGTTATGTTATAAATTAATCATTCCCATAAATTCACTGTTTCTCTTTAATTTTTATTTGACCAACTGAATTTGTTATTTAAATTAGGGTAGGGTTGTTGGTGAATTGGCATGCCACCAACAAGAGGACTCAAAACTCTGAATCCAAACAACAACCCTCCTGCATCAGAGAATTTTGAACCAGTTGCAGACACTGACTTTATTCTAAAGAGGTATAACACAAAGCAATCATCACACAAATGCTGATCCTCATCAGTTATCAATGTCCATATGGAAACAGACAAGTTTGGTCTGAGAGGAAGATAAGGGAAAGTTTTGTCCAAAGCCTTCTGACGTATGGATGGCCTTCACTTATGGGAGAAATTTCACAATTATGAGGGTGTGTGAAAGCACTAATTTGTATGTTTGTGACAGGAAAATTTCAATTAAATCTGACCCCTGTGATCAACATCAGATTTATTATTCATAAGGAACCATAATTGATAATCAGAAAAAATAATTTATTTTGTGAACCCCAGAGATCTGGGTAGACACACATTTATTGTTTAGACTTAAAAAGTTTCATTTCTGCATGGTCTTGGTATTATTTATATTTGGGTGATGCAATTTTTTGTTATGTCAATGACAACATCAAATGTATTTAATAATCATAATAATCATCATGAATATTTAATGGAGCAGGTATTCACAGAAGGAAAGGATTAAATAGCAACAAAAAAGCTAATGTTAACAGAATAACGTGATTCATTATGCAATTCAATTTATTTATTTTATTTATTTATATTGTTTATTTTTATATTTATTTATTATGATCATTCCATGTACTTATTTGGTTAGAATATGGTTTAAACACGATTTCATGTTTAAACTTGAAATCAAGCATAAACAGGAATCAGGGTTAACATGAAACATACTGTTTGAACTTGAAATCGTGCTTAAGCAGTGTATAAGTAATTAACATGTATAAAAGAGATGAGATTTGGATTTTTTTTGAAGGGAAGATTTTTTTGGAAGTTTTAGGTTTTAGAAATTTTTGATTTAGATTTCGATCTTAGATTTTAGGTTTGATTTGTTAATAAACAAAAGGTTTCGACCTATATAAAAATCCACATTATCCATTTAATCAATTAAACCAAAGCTATCTGTTAGCATATTCCTCACTTCATTCTGAAATAAATAAAACTATTTCATTTGCCACCCACTATATATGCTCTCCCACATTAAAATAGTCCAGTGACACTAAGTTTGTTTTTTATCAATCAAAATATATAATTAATTGTATTTAAGAATTTATTATTTTATTCCACTTTTGTAATGGCATTAGCTTCAATAATTCTATTTCCTTAGTATTAATGATTTAATCAATATACAAGTGGTGGTCAATTTAAATGGCATTCATTTTTTTAAATGTGTAAAATTTTTTTAAAAGATGTTTTTACAATAATGATTTTTAATATTGTAAAATTTTTTTTGATAAATGAAATCTTTATTAATATTAATAAAAAATCAGGAAACATGAAATAATTATTTTTCATGGGGCCAGTTGACCAAATTTTTCAATTTCTCTTCATAAGTTGCTGAACAATCATATTTTTTAAATCATTTACTTAAACCTATTCCTGATTCATCTAAGATTAATTCCATTCATATACTTCAATTTTAAAACAATTATAAAAAAACTACAAAGTGAACATAAAATTATATATATAGGGATAAATGTATATGAAAAGTATTAACAAAAGTAATAAATATAATGGTTCTAATGAATATGAAAAGGCAATCAATTTTTTGAAAAAGGTTGTAATTGTGGTTGCTCTTCAAGAATTCCCAAAGAAGAATTTGCAGAATTAAGGGAATCTTTTCAAGCTCTTTCTAAAGTAGAACAAGACATATTTTTAATGGCCCAACTTAAAGCAATGGATGGTGGATCAATAAGTACTAGTAGATGTCTTAAAAAGAAAACCAGATCTAATAAAAGAACTTTCTATCAATGGGATCACAATACACTCCTTTGTCAAGAAACTTATCTCAATATGTTAGGAATTGGTAGGACTTATTTTGAAAATATTAGAAATCATCTAATAAATAATGGTCTTCTACCAAGAATTCATGGTAATATTAAAAGAATGCCTCAATGGAAAACTAAGATGGTGATTGATAAAAATGTTGCAGAAATAGTAAAGAATTTTCTAGAAAATTATGCAGAAGTCCATGGATTACCAAGTCCAGGCAGAAGTGTTAATAGAATAACTCAATCAATTATATTCCTACCAGCTGAAATGAGTTATAAATCTGTACACAAAGATTTTCTGGTTGGTCTAGAAGAAGATAATAATTTGAAATCCTTAAAATATGATGCTTTCAGAAAATTATGACATCAATTGACACCAGAAATTCAAATTATGAGTCCCAGGACTGATTTGTGTGATACTTGTCA